ACTCTCTTAATGGTTTCTTTGGTTTTGCAGAAGCTTTTCAGTTTGATGAGGTCCCACTTGTCTATCTTATTTCTTATGGCATGGGCACTTGGGGTTTTGATCAGGAATTTGTTGCCAGCTCCAATTTCCATAAGGGTGTCTCCTACATTTTCTAAGGTTCTTATAGTTTGAGGTTTAATGTCTTTGATCCATTTAGCGTTGACTTTTGTGTATGGTGATAGGTAGGGGTCTTGTTTTAATCTGCATGTGGTCAGCCAGTTTTCCTAGCACTATTAACTGAATAGTTTCTCTCTCCCCTGTGGTTGATGGTGGAGGCTTTGAGTTGGCTGAGAAATTGAGGTTTTCTTTTGGAATCTCTATCCTGTTCCATTGGTCTACATGCCTGTTCTTGTACCAATACCAGGCTGTTTTGGCTATCGTAACTTGATAATAAAGTTTAAAGTCTGGGAGTACGATAATTCCCGCTTTGTTTTGTTTTCGTTTTTTGTTTTTGTTTGTTTGTTTTTTGCTGAGGATTGTTTTGGCTATTTATGGTTGTTTATGTTTCCATATGAATTCCTGTATTGTCGTTTCCAGGTCTGAGAGGAATGCTGCTGGTAATTTAATGGGTATTGCATTAAATCTGTAGATTGCCTTGGCTAAGATGGGCATCTTAACACTGTTGATTTTTCCAGTCCATGAGCATGGAATATTTTTCCATTTGTTTGTGTCATCTTTGATCTCTTTGAGCAGTGTTTGTAGTTTTCTTTGTAGAGGTCTTTGACTTCTCTGGTTAGGAAGATGCCACGGTATTCTTATTTTTTTTTGGTAGCTATTGTGAATGGGATTGTGCTTTTTATTTGGGTTTCTGTTTGTTTATTGTTGGTGTATAGGAATGCGACTGTCTTTTGCACATTTATTTTATACCCTGATACTTTGCCAAAGTCCTTTATCAGTGCAAGGAGGTTTTTGACAGATTCTCTTGGGTTTTCAAGGTATAGAATCATGTCGTCTGCAAAGAGGGATAACTTAACCTCCTCTTTTCCTATTTGGATACCTTTGATGTCCTTCTCTTGTCAGATTGCTCTAGCTAGGACTTCCAGTACTATATTGAAAAGGAGGAATGAGAGTGGTATCCTTGTCTTGTTCTGGTTTTCAGGGGAAATGGTTCCAATTTCTGTCTGTTTAGCAGTATGTAGGCTGTGGGTTTCTCATAGATGGCTTTTACTATTTTGAGATATATTCTATCTATGCCTAGATGTTCGAGGGTTTTCATCAGGAAGGGGTGCTAGATTTTATCAAAAGCTTTTTCTGCATCTAATGATATAATCATGTGGTTTTTACTTTTACATCTGTTGACGTATTTAATTACATTTATGGTCTTGTGGATGTTGAACCAGCCTTGTATCCCAGGGATAAAGCTTACTTGGTCATGGTGGATGATTTTTTAGATGTGTTGTTGGATCCAGTTTGCTAGAATCTTGTTGAGAATTTTAGCATCTATGATCATCAAGGATATTGGCTGGTAGTTTGGGTTAGTTCTTTGTTGAATCTTTACCTGGTTTGGGTATCAATGTGATGTTTGTGTCATAAAATGATCTGGGAAGAGTTCCATCTTTCTCAATTGCCTTGGAATACTTTCAGTAGGATTGGTATCAGCTCCTCCTTATGTGTTTTGTAGAATTCTGCTGGAAAACCAAATGGTCCAGGGCCTTTTTTTTTGTAGGTAGTTTTCTTATGACACAGTCAGTTTCCCTGGTTGTTATTTATCTATTTAGGGTCTTGATTTCTTCTTATTTCAACCTGGGGAGGTTGTGTGATGTCAGAAAGTTCTCCATTTCATTTAGGTTTTCAAGTTTGTTTCCATACAAGCATACATAGTAATCACTGATAATCTTTTGTATTTCTTTGGGGTCAGTTGTGACTTGATCTTTTGCATTTCTGATTGTGTTTATTTGGACTTTTTCTCTCTTCTTCATGATCAGTCTAGCTAGGGGTCCATTAATCTTGTTTATTGTTTTAAAGAACCAACTTTTCATTTCTTTGATTTTTTTTTTTTTTTTTTGTATTATATTTTTGTCTTCTATGTCCTGAATTTAGGCTTTTATTTTAGTGATTTGGATTCTTATGATGAAGTTAGGGTTTTGTTGGTCTTGCTTTTCCAACTTCCTTAGGTGATTTGTTAGGCTGTTATCTTGTGATCTTTCCATTTTTTTCATGTGTGTTTGTAGAGATATGAATCAGATAAGAGAACGAAAAGATGGCCAGTCATGGTGGCTCATGCCTGTAATCCCAGTGCTTTGGGAGGCTGAGGCAGGAGGATCAGTTGAGGCCAGGAATTTGAGAGCAACCTGGGTAACATAGGGAGACACGGTATCTACAAAAACTTTAAAAAATTAACCAGGTATAGCTTTGCACACCTTTGGTCCTCCTTAGCTACTCGGAAGGCTTAGGTGGGAGGATCACTTGAACCCAGGATTTCAGGGCTACAGTGAGCTATGATGGAGCCACTGCACTCCAGCTTAGACAACAGAGTGAGACCCTATCTTTAATTTTAAAGAGAGAGAAAATGAAAAGACAAGTCACAAAAGGAGAAAAATCTTTTCGAATAATATGTCTGATAAAGCACTTGTATTCAGAACATGAACTCTCAAAACTCACTAGCAAGAAAGAAAATAATCCAGTTGAAAAATAGGCCAAAGACTAAAGATATGGAAATGGCAGATCCACCCATAAAAAGGCATTCAACATTATTGATAATTAGGGAAATACACATTTAAATCACAGTAAGATTCTTCTACACATCTATTATTTTGACTAAAATTTAGTGTTTTTATTTTTATTTTTTTCTTCTGTCCTCCTGTCCCCAAGTTTTATAATGGCTAAAATTTTGAAAGACACCGAAGCATCCTAAGTGTCACTTGAGGGATGAATGGATAAACAACATGTGGTATATACATACAGTGGGATATTGTAGGTACGTCCTCTTTTATGTATTCATTTATCTTTGAGTTAGCATCACACCCCGTCACCCAGGCTGGAGTGCAGTGGCACACTGGTGGCAACCCCAGCGTTGACCTGCCATGCTCAGGCGATTCTTCCGCCTCAATCTTCTAAGTAGCCGGAATTACAGGTGTGCCCTACCACGCCCGGCTAATTTTTTGATTTATTGTAGAGATGAGTTCTCATCAAGTTGCCCAGGCTGTTCTCGAACCGGTGGGCTCAGGCCTCCTAAAGTGCTGGGATTACAGGCTTGAGCCACTGCGCCCGGCCTATATAACCCTTAAAAGGAAGGCAATTCTGACAGATTTACTTTGAAGACATTATAGAAAGTGAAATAAACCAGATACAAACAGACAAATGTTGTATGACTCTACTTATCTCTGATAGCTAGAATAGTCGAATTTAGAGAGACTGAAAGTAGAGTGGTGGTGACTGTAGAATTTCTGGTTGGGAAAATTAAGAAGTTCAGCAGATGAATAATGGTAATGATTGAACAATAAAGTGAGTATACTTATTGCCGGTACATTGAAGAGTAGTTAAAAGGGTAGATACTATGTACAGTCATAATTTTTTTATAAAACGAAAAGAAACCCACACCCATAAGCAGTTACTCCCCATTCCCCTTTTCTCCCCTTTCCCAGCCCCTAGCAACCGGGAATCTACTTCTGTCTCTATAGATTTGTCTATTCTGGACATTTCATATAAATAGAATAATCAAAAGGAAGCCCTTTGTGTTTGGTTTCTTTCACGTAGTGTAATATTTTCAAGGTTTATTCATGTTGTAGTATAATCAGTACTTCATTCCTTTTTATGGCTGCATAGTATTCCATTGTATGGATATACCACATTCTATTTATCCATTCATCAGTTGGTGGACATTTGGGTTGTTTCCACTGCTGTGAACATTCGTTTACAAGCTTTTGTGTAAATGTATGTTTTCCATTATTGGGTATGTAAACATTCTTAATTCTCCTTTAGGCTCAATTATGCAAAGTAGAATCCCCAAATTAAAAGAGTATGTTCATTTTTTAGGCTTTTGATTTGTATTGCTTAATCACCTTCCAGAAAGGTTACACCAATTTAATTGTATACTCCTGTTTGCACTATATTAGCCCATTTGTTTGTAGTGTCTTTTAAGACACTGGAAATTGTTCTTAAAGCACCTTCTGCATCTACAACTGGTGGTCATCAAGTTCTCTTTCATAGCTTTTGAATCTTTTCCCTCTTCTCTCCATCGTCACTACTGCTCTCCCAGTTCACTCCTTCATTACCTCTCACCATTAACTGCCTTGTAATTGAAAGTTCTTTCTCCAACACTGATGCAATTTGATTTCTATAATTCAGTTCCTCTCATTTTACTTCTCTGTTTAAAACCACTTAATGGCTTACCATTGATTTTTCTGGAAAAGGTCTAAATTTCAAGCATGGCATAAAAGACCTGTCAGAATCTGGCTTCTGTGCATCTTCTCAGTTCTATTTCTTCCTATTCATCTTACCCTTTTACCTTCCTCTCACTGCTCCCCCTTACTAACCCCAGTCAGGTCAAGCTACTGTAGTTCCTTGAAAGCATAACACTGTTTGTCTTTCCTCTGTGCCTTTTCATGTGCTACTCCTCCCCCTACCTGCAACACCTTTCTTCTAGATAACTTCTACTTTTTCTTAAAATTTAGTTTAGATATTACCCCTCTGGAAAGACTTCCCGTACCCTGGGTTCTTTTTAAGCTTCTGTATCTTCTAGCCTTGACCTCTAGCATGTATCTACCTGGATTAAAGTTGCCTTTTTGATTATTCTGTATCTTTCATTAAGCCAGAGAATATATGTTATTTTTTGTAGCCCCAGCACAGGCATGGCACATAATAGGTATTTAGCAAATGTTTCATAAGTGAGTAAAAGCTGCTGTTTCAAAAAGAAGTCTGTGTAGAGGAGATCCTCATTAAGCCAAGCTTCAGATATTATTAGGCTGTTACTTCCTGTCTGGCAGGACATGAACTAATGAGATCTATGGTGTCTCTTTTAGGGAAAAGACGACATTGTGTGTATCCATTCTGGAGAGGTTGCTCCAGGCTATGGAGCCAGTTCACGTGGCTCGGAACCTCAGGGTTGACCTGCAGAGAGGACTAACTCACCCTGATGATTCTGTAAAAATCCTCACTCTTTCCCAGGTATGAAATTTTGCTAGCACATATAAGAAAGAACCAACATTAACTACCTGTTCCAAGCCAAGTTCTGTGCTGGCTGCCAAAAACAGATAAAGAAAATACCATCTCTTTCTGTTTCTGTGTCTGTCCCTAGGGAGTGTCTGGTCTGTTCCAGTGTATATAGCTAACTATAACCTGGAAGTTAAAAGCTGAGTAAGAAGTTCCATCTGGATCATTCAAATGACTTAGTTCCTTTTATATGCTAGGCACGGTGCCATATACTGTTGGAGTTACCAAGATGAATAAAACCTGTTTGTTTCCTTCAGGCAGCTCTAGGCTGGACAAGAAGACTTGTATGTGTTCAAGCAGCTGCTCTGCCATGTTAGGTCCTGTTGTAGTGATATTAACCAAGTGCTATTGTAAAAATCACTAAACCAACAATTGAGATAGTAACTCTTATTATCCTGGTAATCAAAACATCCTACTATTTGAGTGAAGAGCTGATGCTAAGGATTGCCCTGTTAAAATGTCAGAAGCTAGATAGTTACCCAGTAGATACTGAACTATTGCTTTTCCTTTTCTCCTCGGAAATACTTATTACATAAAAAAGGATATGGTATCAATTTATTCGTTAACCATTTATGTGCCAGACATTGTAGTGTGTGCTTTACCTATTCAGTGTCATTAATCTTCATAACTATGCTGGAATTAAGTGTTGTATTTCTACTTTACAGATAAGAAATTAGGCTCAAAGAAGTTGTTTAGTTTGCCAAAGGTTAGTGCAGCTAAAAATAGACAGAACTAGGGTTTATTGTTTTCACTCTCTGAACTACATCACCTCTTTACCTTTTCTCTTTCCTTTCAAAGATGTGTCTATGCCACATGTGTATTTGGCTTTATGAATTTTTATAACTTGTCATATAACTGTAATCAGTAACTCCTAAAATAGCTGCATATTAAAGAAATTTGACTATCATGCATTCACCTGTTGTCCTACCCTGGAAAAGTGTTTCAGTTGTTTTTTTCTTGCAGGTTGGAAGAATTGTTGAAAATTCTGATGCTGTTACTGAGATTCTAAATAATGCTGAATTACTAAAACAAATCGTTTATTGTCTTGGTGGAGAGAATCTATCTGTAGCTAAAACGGTGAGTCTGCTAGAACCATCAGCTTAAACAGGAAGAGACATTAGTGTCCTAAAAGACAAAGAAAGGCCCTCTGAATTGAGAGGTGAAGGTTTTGAATGGATGATTTCTTGTAATTGGATTTGCAATCTCATGTGCATGGTATCAGATAAATAAGTGGTTGGCAAATAAATACTAGTAAACTATTTCCTAGGAAACATATATTTACAGTAGCCATCATAGAACTCACATTGGGTTGCTTGATAGGAAACAAAACTTACCTAATCTGTATCCTATTGGGAATATCATGCATCTGTATTATAAATAATAGCTATTATGTTATATATAAATATAATATATTTTTATATTATATTATTATAAATAATAATTAAGCATAATGAATACTTATTGGGTAAGGTGCATTCCATGCACTAATTTTCATATCTTATGAAGTAAATATTAATATTCTGTATTTTTGTGACTGAAGAAATATGCTTTTCTTTATAAGGCCATTAAATCCCTGTCAAGAATATCACTAACTCAAGCTGGACTGGAGGCTTTATTTGAAAGCAATCTGCTGGATGATTTGAAAACTGTAATGAAAACCAATGACATTGTTCGATACAGGGTATATGAGGTAAGACTAAAAGCATACTTTTTGATGCTTACAAAGCAGAATGCAGGAAGACTTACATTGGAAGGCAAAGTGACCCATTTAACATGCAATTATTGAGTGTATAATCTATGTAAGGCCTATACTAGGTGCTGAGGATAGGGATGCATTCCCAGCCTAGTGTGTAAGACAGTCATATAAACAATATTTGTAGTGCAGTGTTAGAGGAGACACCATTGAAACCAGCCTTTGAAAAAATTAGCAGCAATAGTAAGAAGAAATGGCTCTTATTTGCGTTACTTTTGTACTAAGCACAAAAGTACTAAGCACAAAAGATACTACAATCTTCACAAATGTTAATTTTCACAGTAAACTTTGTATGTTATTGTCATTAACTTCACTATTGATGGAGCAGTTGACTGGAGGCCACACACTTAATAGGTTGCCTACTCAAACTGGGATCCCCTACAGTATAATTCTCTTTTCAGAACACTTTCCTATTTTCATGTTTTTATTACCACACTATCCTGGTGTTTCTTTGGCTTTTCTGTTTCTTCTTAGTCTCCTGGCTCATTATCCTTTATTGAGCCTCATTTGTTGGAGCTCATGAAAATGAAGTTCCAAGCCATACTTTCACTGTACTCTATTCATGTTCCTAAGCAATTTTATTTATTTATCTCATGATTTCAGTTCCCAACTGTGATAATGTCTCTCAAATGTAAACTTTCTATTAAGACCTCTCTTCTGAGTTCACATCTTCATATCTAACTGCTTACTCACTCTCGCCCTCTTGGACATTTCTAGCCCCCCCGCCATGCTGAAGCAGAATTCCTGATCTTTACTCCATGCCCCGGGTCTCACAGTTCACATAGTTGGGTATTAGACCTTGGCTCATTCTTTCTGAGACTTGTTTTCCCTGCCACATTCATTTGGTCATCACATTGTGTCAGTTTTACTTAAACCTGTGTATTTCTCCATTGGTATTAGATACCACCATCCTAGACTAACCTACCAGTGTCACTCACCTGGGCTACTACATTTGCATTCAAACTAGTTTCCCCTCATCATTTTTTTGTATTTCTAGTCTATCTTCACATGCAGTCAGAATGAGCTTTTAAAAATCCAAATCTGGCCAGGTGTGGTGGCTCATACTTGTAATCCAGCACTTTGGGAGGCCAAGGTGGGAGGATTGCTTGAAGCCAGGAGTTCAAGATCAGCCTGGGCAACATAGCAAGACCCTGTCTCTAAAAATTTGTTTAAAAATTAACTAGGCATGGTGGTATATGCTTGTAGTCCTAGCTACTCGGGAGGGTGAGGCAAGATCGCTTGAGCCCAGGAGTTCAAGTCTGCAATAAGTATGATTATGCTACTGCAATCAAGCATGTTAAACAGAGCAAGACCCTATCTCTTAAAAAAAAAAAAAAAATTTAACCAGGCTCAGACTCAGTGGCTCATACCTGTAATCCCAGCACTTTGGAGGCCAAGGCAGGAGGATCACTTGAGCCCAGGAGTATGAGAACATAGTGAGACTTCTGTACAAAATTTAAAAATTAAATATATAATCTGTTTGTTGGTGTTGATTTAGGCTTTTGATGATTCCTTGGGGAAAAAAAGTACTGATATACCCAAACATAATGGAATATTTCTGTGTCAGTAATTTCTTATGTATTCAATGAAGTTTTCTTACTGGAAGAGAAATAGATTTTCAAAAATTCATTTATACAGAGTACCTAGTCCTGCATTTAATTTAAGATGAGATTTATCAGATTTAGGGCTGTTTTGACCGTTTTCTTTTTCTGTTATTTTCTTTCAGCTAATTGTAGAGATTTCTTCTGTGTCACCAGAATCTTTAAACTACTGTACCACAAGTGGACTGGTAACCCAGCTCCTGAGAGAGCTGACTGGTGAGGATGTGTTGGTCAGGTGTGTTGACTGAGAGAGTTCTTAAAATGAAATGTCCTCTTTTGGAGGACCTGGAAATAACCTTGGGACTGCTGTGATTTTCCCTATCTGAGCTTTTGACCAGGTTGCAGTCTTATGACTGATATGTGTCCTGAAGGAAGGACCTTTAGAAAATCGCTTAGGTTACATTGTGACAGCATATCAGAACTTGGAAAAGCCCTTCATGACAATTCAGCTACTTTTGAGTGACTGTACTTAAGAGCACACATACCTGTCCTTAGACGTGTGTGCTCTTGAAAAGTTGCAATCACATGGTAACTGCCATTTTGTGTTACTTAACATTTTATTATATGCATATCATATTTTTGGCATTGTTAAATAGCAGCACTATGGCGTGATAGAAAAAATATGGGCCATGATAATGAGGAAGATTTGGGCTTGCATGCCTCTCTACTGCTTACTAGCTGTCTGACCTTGACAAATTATTGTAACCTATCTATGCCTCTGTTTTCTTTTCTCTCAGCTAGAACAATAACAACTGTAAAAAAAAAAAAAAAAAAAAAAAGATACTATGGTGATTAAATGACTTGATCGTAGAAATCAATACAATGGCTGATAGGTTAACAAATAAATATTAATTCCAGTCTCTTTCAGGCCCTATTCCCCCACACCCTAAATCCCCTTTAATATCTGCCAAGTGTTTCCTTGTTGATATTTCAGTTTACTAATACATTGTCTCTGTTGAACCCTTGATTTGCTTCAAGCATTTTGCTGTTATAATAGCATTATAGTTATCTTTGTGTATATAAGTTTTTATTTTTCTTCAATGATTTTTCTGATGGTCCTATGTTCTTTAAGTGTGACTGAATTTGTTAAACCCATGTGCATAAATCACTCATGAGTTACGTTTTTTCAAAGCATTTGAGTATCTGAATCTATTGAGGAAATTAATTTTGTTATTTTTTTAGCCATGCATCAAATTTTGTGACATAGGAAAAAAACCTTCAAATGGTTAGTTAAAATACTTTATGATCAACTGTAAACATATTTATTTTCATTATTTTGTTTGCTCATGGTTGGATATTAGATGATACCAAAGAATTATTGTTTGTTTTTAAATATGTGATAATGGCATTATAATTGTGTCAGGAAATCTTGTGTTTTTTAGAGGTACTTACTGAAATATGCAGGGGTAAATGGCAAGATGAGTAGGATTTACTGTAAAATAGTTCAGCAGAACAATGGGGAGAATGGTTGAAATAAGTAGAGCACAATCTTTTTTTTTTTTTTTTTGAGTCAGGGTCTCACTTTGTCACACAGACTAGAGTACAGTGGCACAATAATGGCTCACTGCAGCCTTGACCTCCTGGGCTAAGGCAGTCCTTTAGCTGACATTACAGGTGTATGCCACCATGTCTAGCTAATTTTTTTTTTTGTAGAGATGAGGTCTTGCTGTGTTGCCTAGACTTGTCTTGAACTCCTGGGCTCAAGCAGTCCTCTTGCCTCGGCCTCCTAAAGTGCTGGGACTGCAAGTGAAAACCAGTGTGCCTGGCCTAGCAAATATCCTGATAACTGTAAAATCAGGGTTATGCATACATGGGGGTTTATGGAACTGTTTTTACTTTTGTGTATGTTTGATATTTCAAAATTATGCAAACTTTTTTTTTTAATCTCTTAGCAGCTAGGTTATGGTGGAAACAGTAGTGAGCTTCAAGTCAGACAATCAAGATTTAAGTCTAAACTCTTCTTTGTAATAACAGATTCTGGATAAGTCACTGCAACTTTCTAGGCCTTGTGTCCCCATCTGAAAAGTAGAGCCAAGATTATTGACCTTTCAGATTTGGTGGGAAGAGCGAAATAAGATAACTTATATGAAAGCAATTTATAAACTGTGTTAATCATACGCACAATTTCTTGGTTTTTGTCCTTCTGACATTTTAGAGCCACCTGTATAGAAATGGTGACATCATTGGCATATACTCATCATGGACGACAGTACCTTGCTCAAGAAGGAGTAATTGACCAAATTTCTAATATAATTGTTGGAGCAGATTCAGATCCTTTCTCTAGTTTCTATTTGCCAGGTAAGAAGCATTGATGCCTTTGAAGATGATGATGGTATTGATATTTTATTTCTGAGTTGTCTCTGATAGGAAGAGGCCAGGAATTTTTTTCTTTAGAGCTGATTTCTTTTAGAAGATATCCATGGTCACCAAATTCAAAAGGACATTAAAAGGTTTATCCACCTGATCAGGTGGGGTTTATCACAGGGATGCAAGAATGGTTCAACATATACAAATCAATACATCTGATACATCTTATTAACTGAATGAAGGACAAAAGCCACATAATCATTTCAGCATTTGACAAAATCAAACAACCTCTTATGAAAAAACTCAACAAATTAGGTAAGGAAATAATGTATCTCAACACAGTAAAGGCTGTATATGACAAACTCACAGCACTCTATGAAAAGTTGAAAGCTTTTTCTCTAAGAACTGTAACAAGACAAGGATTCCCACAATTGCTACTTCTATTCAACAAAGTACAGGAAGTTATAGCTAGAGCAATTAGGCAAGAGAAAGAAATAAAAAGTACCCAAATCAGAAGGAAAGAAGTGAAATGGACCCTGTTTTCAGGTGATATTATCTTGTATATAGAAAACTCTAAAGACTGTATCAAAAAACTGTTATGACTAGTAAATGAATTCAGTAAAGTTGCAGGATACAAAATTAGCATTCAAAAATCAGTAGTGTTTCTACATACTAATAGTGAACTATATGAAAAAGAAATCAAGGAAACAATCCCATTTATAATGGCATCCAAAAAAAAAAAAAAAAGCTTTGGGACAAATTTATGGAGGTGAAAGATCTGCAAGCTGAAAGCTTATTATAAAATACTGATGAAAGAAATTGAAGGACAGGCTCAGTGGCTCAGCCTGTAATCCCAGCACTTTGGGAGGCTGAGGCACGTGGACTGCCTGAGCCTGCGGGTTTGAGACCAGCCTGGGCAACTTGGTGAGACCTCATCTCTACAATAAATAAAAAATTAACTGAGTGTGGTAGCACATGCCTATAGTTATAGCTCCTTGGAAGGCTGGGTAGAAGGATTACCGGAACCCAGCAGGTCAATGCTGGAATGTCCGTGAGCATGCCACTGCACTCCAACCTGGATGACAGATTGAGACTCCAGCTCAAAAAAAAAAAGAAAAGAAAGAAATCAAGACAATTATATGAAAGATATCCCATGTTCATGGATTGAAGAATTAATACTGTTAAAATGTGACACCATGCAAAGCCTTATATGAATTCAGTGCAATCCTTAGAAGAGTTTCAGTGACATTTTTCATAAAAGTAGAAAAAAAGTCTAAAAATTCATATGTAGCCCCAAAAACCCGAAATAGCCAAGTCATTCTCAAGTAAGAACAAAGCCAGAAGCATCACATTTCTTTAAAATATACTACAAAGCCGTAGTAATCAAAACAGCATGGTACTGCCTTAAAAACAGACACATAGACCAATGGAAAGGAATAGAGAGTACAGAAGTAAATCCACGCATTTATGATCAGTTGGTTTGCAACAAAGATGTCAAGAATACAATGAGGAAAGGACAGTCTCCTCAATAAATGATTGTAAGACAATTGGATGTTACATATAGAAGCAACAACTTGCACAAAAATCAACTCAATTACTTAAATGTAATGCCTGAAACTGTAAAATTGCTAGAAGAAAACATAGAGTTTTGTAATTATACAGGCAGTAGAAAAAAAAGGAAAGAAAACGGAAAAACTGCATGACGTTGGTCTGACCAAAGAGCTTTTAGATATCACTCTCAAAACCACAGGCAACAAAAGCAAAAATAGACATGTGGGATCACACTAAACTAAAAAGCCGCATGGCCAAGGAAATAAATACCCAAGTGAAGAGGTAACCCCATGGAATGGGAGAAAATGCTTGCAACCCATACATCTGTTATGGGGTTATTACTCAAAATATACAAGTAATTCAAACAACTCAATAGCAAGAAAACAACTCAATTTAAAAAATAAGGAAAAGATCTGAATAGACATTTCTCAAAACACGTAAATAGCCAGCAGGTCTATGAAAAAATGTTCAACATCACTAATCATCAGGGAAATGCAAATTAAAGCCTCAATGAGAGTAAGTCCCTACATACAAACCTTCAGATTGCGAACTTTCAAATATGCCAACATGCGTTCACATGTTCAATCATGTAAGTTAGATCAGCTGTCCTGCATACACTGTCATGGGCTCTACTGTAAGATTAAAAATGTTTTCTTAGCCAGATGAGATGGCTCATGCCTGTAGTCCCAGCACTTTAGGAGGTAGAGGTGAGAGGATTGCCTGAACCCAGGGGTTCAAAACCAGCCTGGGCAACTTGGCGAGACCTCATCTCTACAATAAATAAAAAAAATTGGCTGGACATGGTGGCACGCGCCTGTAGTTCCAGCTACTTGGAAGGTTGAGGCAGAGGGATCAGTTGAGCCCAACAGGTCGAGGCTGTAATGGCCATAAGCGTGCTACTGCACTCCAGCCTGGGCGATAGAGTGAGATTTCTACTCAAAAAATTTAAAAACAATAAGTTTTATTGGCCAGGCTTGGTGGCTCAGCCTGTAATCCCAGCACTTTGGGAGGTTTGAGCCCAGCCTGGGCAACTTGGCGAGACCTCGCCTCTACAATAAATAAAGTAGTTCTGGCTACTTGGAAGGCTGAGGTGGAAGGATCGCCGGAGCCCAGCAGGTCAATACTGGGGTGGCTGTGAGCATGCTACTGCACTCCAGTCTGGGCAACGGAGTGAGACTCCAACACAAAAAGAAAAAGAAGTTTTCTTTATTTTTTGTTTGTTTGTTTTATGTGTTATTTGTGTGAAAAATATATAAACCTATTACAGTACAGTACTATATAGTTGATTGTGTTAGTTGGGTACCTAGGCTAACTTTGTTGGACTTACAAATTGTACTTATGAAGATGCTCTTAGAATGGAACTTGTTTATATGTAGGGGACTTACTGTATCACCTCACCCCTATTAGAATGGCTAATATTAAAAAGACAAAAGATAACAAGTATGGGTAAAGATGCAGAGAAAACGGAACCTTTGCACACTGTTGGTGGAAATATAAATCATTACAGCCATTATGATAAACTATGAAGGTTACTCAGATTTAAAATGAGAGATTCGCTGGGCTTGGTGGCTCAGCCTGTAATCCCGCACCTTTGGGAGGCTGAGGTGAGTAGATTGCCTGAGGCCACGGGTTCGAGACCCGCCTGGGCAGCGAGACCTCATCTCTACAATAAATCAAAAAATCAGCCGGGCGTGGTAGCGCATGCCTGTAATTCCGGCTACTCGGAAGGCTGAGGCGGAAGGATCGCCAGAGCCCAGCAGGCGAGGCTGCGGTGGCCGGGAGTGGCCACTGCACTCCAGTCTGGGCGACAGAGTGAGACTCCAACTCAAACAAACAAACAAACAAACAAACAAAAACTAGAGATTCATGTAACCCAGCAATCTCATTATTGAGTATATATCCAAAAAATATGAAATCAGTATGTCAAAGAGATAATCTGCACTTCTATATCCATTAAATTATTTACAATAACACATATATAGAATCAGCCTGTATTCATCAATGAATGAATGGATAAAAGAAATGTGGTATAATTCACAGTGGACTACTATTCAGACTTAAAAATGAAGGGAATTCTGTCATTCATGCAGCAGCAGGGGTGAACCTGGAAGATATTATGTTACTTGAAATAAACCAGATGCAAAAAGACAAACACTACATGATCTCACTTATACGTAGAATATAAAAAGACAGAATTTATGGAAGGAGAGACGGGAGTGGTGGTTTCAGGGACTGGGTGGGCAGGATTGGGTAGATGTAAGTCAAAAGATACAAAGTTTCAATTAAAAGGGATAAATGCAGAATATTCATTGTACAATGTGGTGACTATAGTTAATAACAATATATCCTAATTTTGAGAATTGCTAAGAGTAAATTTTAAGTGTTCTCTACACAAAACATGAGAGGTAATATATGTTAATTAGCTTAAATTAGCCATTCCACAATGTACATATTTTAAACCACATTGTTTGCAATATATACAATTTTTAAATTTGTCAATTAAAAATATTTTTTAAAATGGGAGCCAAACTAAGGATCTGCAAGGCATATAAAATGGTATAACGGACATTCGAAAGGGTAGAATAGGAGTGGAGGGATGAAAAATCACCTATTGGGTATAATGTGCACGGTGGGGGTGCTAGGTACACTTAAAGCCCAGACTTCTTCGCCATTATATAATGTAGTCATGTAACCAAAAACTATTTGTACCTCCTAGAGCTATTAAAATAAATTTTTAAGAAGAGAGCTTTCTACACACCCATGTTTGTTGCAGCATTACTCAGAGTAGCCAAAATATAGAAACAACCCAAATATCCATCAATAGATAGATGAAGAAAATGTGGTATATTCAGAAAACAAAATATTCAGCCGTAAAAAAAAAATCCTGCCATTTGTGACGACAATATGGATAAAACTAGAGGACATAAGGCAGTCACAGAAGAACAAATGTTGCTCAATTCTACTTACATGAGAGGTCCAAAATAGTCAAAATCAGAGAAGTAGAAAGAGGAAAGTGGATTCCAGGACCTGAGAAGAGAGGGAGATGAGGAATTGTTTAGTGGGTATAATATTTCAGTTTTGCAAGATGAGTAAGTTCCAGAGATCAGCTGTACAAAGTAGTGACTATAGTTAACTTACTGTATCGTACACTTGAAATTATGTAATGAGGCTAAACTTTATATTAAGTATTATCACAAGAAAAGGCCCAAGGAAACATTTAGAGGTGACAGACATGTCTGTTATCTTCATTATAGTGATGGCTTTATGGATATTTTTACTTACATATAAACTCATCAAAATTTATATAAAAATGTGAAATTTTTGTATTAGTTATACCTCAATAAAGCTGTGAAAAATCGAAATGAAAAATACACATACACACATACTCATAGCCCTTTAATTAGGTAATCAGTTCCCCTGGGAACCCTGTACTGTTGATAATAGTTTTCTAGAAACATCAATACTTTTTAGAGCATTAGAATACTTTTCTTTTGAAGATCAATTAAAAGAAACATAAATTAAAATACTAGAAATGCCATTTACAGTATGTTTCACAGATTCATCAGATCTCTTGAGTTGGAATTCCATGTAGGATCTACTGTAGCCTTTCTATTCAAGGACATGGTTGATAAGTCTTTGTTATTTCCAGAATTTAGAGATTTGTTCTTTCCTTAAATAGCCTAGCTTATTTTATTGATAAATATATCTGTTAAAAGTTCCTTCCTAATAATGACTCTAAACTTGCCTTCCTATAATTTGTATCCACTTGTGTTTGTTCTTTGTTCTCCCTCTTGCATATGATGGTACTTCAATATTTGGACCCAGCTCCATTGGCACCCTGTGGTTTCTATTCTCTCAGGACTACACATTACAAGTCCTTTTGTATCTCCTATTGTCTGATTTCTAGGTACATACTACTTTTTTCTTTCTCTTCTTTCTGGCCTGCACTTTATTTCTGTTCCTATGAAAACATGGGGCCCACAATTTATACTGTTTTGTTTCTGAATTAAAATATATTTTTATAAATATTTTTAGGGTTTGTGAAGTTTTTTGGAAACCTGGCTGTCATGGATAGTCCTCAACAGATCTGTGAGCGTTACCCTGTTTTTGTGGAAAAAGTCTTTGAAATGACAGAAAGTCAGGACCCCACCATGATTGGTGTAGCTGTAGACACAGTTGGAATCCTAGGATCCAATGTTGAAGGAAAACAGGTTTTACAGAAAACAGGTTGGTATGACTTCTCCTGACTTTGTTTAGAGATATTTTAATATTTGACAAGGATTCAGTATATAAGTTCATTTGCTGGGGTTAACTATATTTTAGAAACTATGTTACAGGTGGCAGTCTTCTTAATCATGATCTTGGACTCATCTCTAAAGTCTAATAATTGCTACTGAAAACTTTTTCTTTTTACTTTTCGCTGTTTTAGATTCTACAAACACTGCTTTCCTTCTCTGTCATTATTGAATAATATTTATGGCACAAAGACCACTAAGTAGGGTCAGAAAGACCTGGATTCATGACACAGATCTAACACTTACTTAGCTTTTTTTTTTAAATAGGAGTTTTACTCTCGCCCAGGCTGGAGTGCAGTGGCACAATCACAGCCACTGCAGCCTCAACCTCCTGGGTGCAGGCAATCCTTCCACCTCAGCCTTCCAAGTAGCTGGAACTACTGGCATGCACCACCATACCTGGGTAGTTTTTGGATTTATTGTAGAGATGAGGTCTCACCAAGTTGGACAGGCTGGTCTCGAGCCTGTAGGCTTAGGCTCAGGCAGTCCTCTGACATTGGCCTCCCAAAGTGCTGGAATTATAGGCATGAGCTACTGTGCCCGATTTACCTTTCTTTTTTTTTTTTTTTTTTTGAGATGAGGTCTTACAATGTTGCCCAAGCTAGTCCCAAACTCCTGAGCTCAGCTCAAGTAATCTTCCCACCTTAGCCACCCGAGTAGCTGGGACTACAAGGCTTTCACTACTGTACCAGCACCTGACTTAACTTTTTTGTTGTTGTTGTAATAAAGATGTGTGGTACAAGTGAGGGTTAGCTACGTTAGTAGACTGCATGCCCGTGAGGCCCTCACTTCCCCCAGTAGTGGATTGGGGGGAGTTTTTTATTTGGTTCTCTGCCCGCCTTTGTGTTTACATGTTCTCTCCACACTGCTCCCTCCCCTAGCAGTGCTTAGCAACTGTCGATTCTTTCCTCATGCTCATGTGACTATTGTTCAGGACCCACTTATTAGTGAGAACACGCAGTATTCAGTTCTTTGTTGCTGTAATAAATTACTTAGTATGATGGTCTCCAACTCCCTCTAGTTTGCTGCAAAGTCCATGATTTTGTTCTTTATGGCTGTGTAATACTCCATTGTGTATATGTACCACATTTTCTTTATCCAGTTCACTTTTGATGGGCAGTAGGGCTGATTCCATGTTTTTGGTATTCTGAATAGTGTGGTAGTGAACATGTGTGTGCAGGTGTCGTTTTTGTAGAATGATTTATGTTCTTCCGGGTATATTCCCAGGAGAGGTATTGCTGGATCATATGGGAGGTCAATTTTTAGTTCTTTTAGAAAGCACCACACTGCTTTCTATAAAGGTTGCACTACCTTGCACTCCTACCATCTGTTGTTTTTTGACTTAGTAATGATGGTCATCCTTACCGGAGTTAGGTGGTATCTCATTATAGTTTTGATTTGTATTGTCTGATGATTAGTGAGACTGAGCATTTTTTCATATGTCTGCTGGCTCCTTGTATGTCATCTTTGGAGAAGTGTCTGTTCGTGTCCTTTGCCCACTTTTTAATGGAGTTGTTTTTTTCCTTTTACTTCATTTGCATTCCTTGTAGATCCTGGATGTTAGGACTTTGTCCAATGCATAATTTGCAAATATTTTTTCCCACTCTGTGGGTTATCTCTTTACTTTCATGATGTTTTCTTTTGTGGTGCAAAAGTTTTTAAGTTCAATGAGGTCTCACTTGTCTGTCTTAGCTTTTATAGCAGTCGCTTTTGGGGACTTGTTCAAGAATTTGTTGCCTACTCTGATGTACATAAAGGTGTTTCCTGCTCTTCTAGAATTCGTCTAGTTTGAGGTATTACTTTTAGGTCTTTGAACCATTTAGAGTTGATTTTTGTATACGGTGATAGGTAAGGATCCATTTTCATTCTTCTGCATATAGTCAGCCAGTTTTGCCAGCACCATTTGCTAAATATGGTCTCCTCTCCCCAGTGATTGTTATTGGTGACTTTGTCAAAGATGAGTTTATTGAAAGACCGTGTTTTTGCTTCTGGAATCTGTCCTTTTCCATTGGTGTATGTGTCTATTCTTGTAGCATTACAATGCTATTTTAGTTACTGTAGCTTTGTAAGAGAGTTTAAAATCTGGGAAGTATAATACCTCCCGCTTTGTTCCTTTTGTTGAGAATTGTTTTGGCTATTCATGCTGTTTTTTGTTTCTATATGAATTTCTTTTTTTCTTTTTTTGAGTTGGAGTCTCACTCTGTCACCCGGGCTGGAGTGCAGTGGCATACTCATGGCCACCCCAGCATCAACCTGCTGGGCTCAGGCAATTCTTCTGCCTCAGCCTTTCAAGTAGCCAGTACTACAGGTGTGCACTACCATGCCTGGCTAATTTTTTTTTTTACTTATTGTAGAGATGAGATCTCGCCAAGTTGCCCATGCTGTCCTCGCAATCCCCTCAGGCAATCTCCTCACCTTGGCCTCCAAATTTCTGTATTGTTGTTTCCAGGTCTGAGAAAAAGGATGTTGGTAATTTGATGGGTATTCCATCGAATCTGTAGATTGCCTTAGGCAGAATGGACATCTTAATAAGATGGATTCTTCCAATCCATGAGCATGGAATGTTTTTCCATTTGTTTGTGTCATCCTTGATTTATTTGAGCAGTGTTTTGTACTTTTATTGTAAAGGTCTTTCACATCTCTGGTAAGGTGGATGCCAAGATACTTTTTTTTTTGGCTGTTGTAGATGGGATTGCATTTTTGTTTGGTTCTCTGCTTGCTTTTTGCTGGTGTGTAGAAATGCCTCTGTTTTTTGCACATTGATTTTATACCCCGAGACTTTACCAAAGTATTGGTGCAAGGAGGTTTTTGACAGACTCTCTTGGGTTTTCAAGGTTTAGGATCATATTGTCCTCAGGAGGGATAGCTTAACTACTTTTTTTCCTTTTTTAATACCCCCTGATTTCTTTCTCTTGCCTGATTACTCTGTCTAGAACTTCCAGCATTATGTTGAACAGGAGGAGGTGAGAGTGGGCCTCCTTGTTTTGTTCCTGTTCTTCGGGGGAGTGCTTCCTACTTCTGCCCATTGAGAAAATATTGGCTATGGGCTTATCATAGATGACCCTTACTGTTGAGAGGAATGTTTTCTTCTGTGTCTAGTTGCTCAAGGGTTTTTATCAAGAAGGGATGCTGGATTTTGTCAAATGCTTTTTCTCCTTCTAATGATATAATCATGTGGTTATTAGTTTTACATCTGTTAATGTACTGAATTGCATTTATGGTCTTGTGAATGTTAAACTAGCTCACCTGGTCATGGTGGATGATCCTTGAGATGTATTGTTGGATCCAATTTGCTAGACTCTTGTTGAGAATTTTTATATCTGTGTTCATCAGGGAGATTGGCTTGTAGATCTCTTTCCTTGTTGGACCTTTGCCAGGTTTGGGTATAAGTAAGATGTTACCTTCATAGAATGATTTGTGGAGAATTTCATCATTCTCGATTGCCTAGAATACTTTCTTTCTTTTTTCTTTTTTTTTTTTTTTTGAGTTGGAGTCTCACTCTGTTGCCCAGGAGGGCAGTGGCATGCATGCTCATGGCTACCACAGCCTCTACCCACTGGGCTCAGGCGACCCTTACACCTTAGACTTCCAAGTAGCTGGAACTATCAGCGTGTGCCACCATGCCCAGTTAATTTTTTTTTATTTATCATAGAGACAAGGATTCACCAATTTGCCCAGGTGAACTCAGGTGATCCTCTCGCCTCCACCTCCCAAAGTGCTGGGATTGAGTTTCAATTTCTTCGTGTTTCAACCTTGGGAGATTGTGTGGTGTCACTAAGCCCTCCATTTCCTTGAGGTTATCAAGTCAGTTTGCATATAGTGTTCATAATAGTCTCTGATAATCTTCCGAACTTCTTCTGGGTCATTTGTGACTTTGCCTTTTGCATTTCATTTCTAATTGTGTTTATATGAACTTTCTCTCTCTCTCTCTCTCTCTCTCTCTCTTTTAGTCAATCTATCAATATTATTTAAACTTTCAAAGAACCATGTTTTTGTCTTGTTTGAACCATGTTTGATCCTTTCTATGATATTTTTGTCTTCTATATTCTGCAGTTGTGATTTTATCTTTTATCTTTAGGTGTGACATTAGGCTGTTTACTTGTGATCTTTCTGTTTTCTTGATGTGTGCGTGCAAGTGTTATGAATTTTCCTCTTAACACTGCTTACATGGCATCCCAGAGATTGATAAGATGTGTCTTTGTTTTCATTTGTTTCCAGGAATCTTTTTATTTCTGTTTTGATTTCCTTATTGACCCAGAAGATGTTAAACAGCATGTTGTTTAGTGTCCATGTCTTTGTGTGTTTTGAGGGGGAATCTTGTTGGTAGCGATATTTATTTTTATTCCACTGTGATCTGAGAAGATGCATGGTATTATTTTGATCTTTTGAAATTTGCTCATGCCTGATTTATATCCAAGAATGTGATTGATATTGGAGTATGTTCCATGTACTGATAAGTAGAATGCATACTCTGTAGTTGTTGGGTGAAGTGTTCTGTAGATGTCTACTAAGTCCATTTGATCAATCATTGAGTTGAAGTTCCGGATCTCCTTGTTGGTTTTTTGCCCTGATGATCTATCTAAAGCTGTTAGTGGGGTCTTTAGGTCTTCAACTATGATTATGTGAGAGTCAGTTGTTCTCTTTTAGTTTACTTAGTGGTTGTCTTATAAACCCTGGGTGCATATATGTTTAGGATGGCTATTTCTTGCTGATAGATAGAGCCTTTTATCATTACACAGTTTCCTTCTGTATCCTTTTTAACTTTTGATTGCTTGAAGACTGCTTTGTCTGCTATTAGAATAGCTACGCTTGCTTTCTTCTGTTTTCTGTTCATCTGAAAGGTCATTTTCCATCTTCCAAACTTTAATCTGTTGGTGTCTTTTGCAGTGAGATGAATTTCCTGGAGGCAGCAGAATGTTGGATCATGTTTTTTAAATCCAGTTTGCCACTCTGTATCTCTTCAGTGGTGTATTTAGTCCATTCAGCTTCAAGCTGATTATTGATATGTGAGAGTTTATCCCTGTCACAGGGCTTAAGGAATTACTTTGTTTCGTTTTAACTTTTGCATTTGTATACGTGTATTTTCATTTTTGTGGGTGCTCTGTATGCTCTGTTAACTCTGTGTTTTCCTGTAGTTATGTGATGTGCATGGTCATTCTTTTTCTGTGCTTAACACCTTCTTAAGCATCTCCTGAAGGCCTGGTCTGGAGGCAGCATATTCTCTTAGGGATTCGATATCTGGGAAGGATCTTAATTCTCTGTAGCTGATGGAGCTTAACTTGACTGGTAGGAAATTCTTGGTTGGAATTGCTTCAAGAACATTAAAAGTTGGACTCCAATCTCTTGTGGCTTATAGTGTTTCTGCAGATAAATCTGGAGTGATACAGATGGGTTTTCCCCAGTAGGTAGTCTGACCTTTTTCCTCTTGCTGCCTTTAAAATTTTTTCTTTCATGCTTACTTTTTGGAGGCAGATTTCCATGTGTCTTGGGATGGTCTTCTCATGTAATACCTTGCAGGGGTTCTTTGAATCTCTTGCACTCAGGTGGTTGTTTCTCTAGCAAGATGAGGGAAGTTCTCTTGAATGACCTCATGAAGTATTTGTTCTATGATGTTCTCATTTTCCCTTTCTGCTTTGGGGATACCAATCAGTAGATCTGGCTTTTTTACCTAGTCCCACTGCTCTCAGAGGCCTTGTTCCTTCTTTTTCAGGTATTTTTTCTATGTTTTTAACAGACTGTGATAATTCCATGTTTTGGTCTTCAAACTCTGACAGTCTTTCCTCTGCTTGGTTGAGTCTTTTCCCAATACTTGTTCATGTGTTATTGATTTCAAGGATGGAACTCTATTTCCATGATTTCAGAATAGGCTTTTTTGAAACTGGCCAACTCCACATACTTCCTGTATGATTTCTTTGGGTTTTGCTTTATGTTTCTTCTGTTTCCTGTTCATTTGTACCATCTGTTTTCTGATTTCTGTGGCTGTCATCCAGAGCAGGTCATTCTGGAGACTTTTCATTGTTTGTAATCTGATGGCTGCTTTTTTGTGTGCTATCTCATTAAAACTCTGAAGGTTGCTTGTGTTTCCTCTTGATTCTTCCTCATTTATGTCAGACCTCTCTTTTCTTCGTGAGAGAGGGAGGAGCTCCACCCTGGGGGAGTTCTTGTTGCTACAAATTTTCTCCTCTGCTGCTAAATTTGTTGAGCCATTTTTCAGCCCCTGCTGCATGTGGCTGATGTATTGTACTGACTGGGAGGGGGTGAATGGACCCAGCACATACCAGAATCACTTGCCCCTCTTTGTCATCCAGCATGATCCCAGCTCCTGTATAGGCCTAGCTCGTGGCAGGAGATGGAGTGCCTGGATTCCCACGCCTGCCTTTTTGGTCTCTTTGTGTTCAAGGAGATCCCTGTTTGGTGTGAGGAGTTTTACCCTTCCATACATGTTCAGGTTGCCTCCTTTATTCGGTGCTGGATCCCTACTCTCTGCTCTGCCCTGCAAGAGAGCCACCAGTCTGTTGCTCCACCAGGTGCCAGTGGCATGTGTGTCAGTCAGATTCACCCCGCAGGCAGGCCTTCCCCACCAAGTTCTGCTCCCAGTTCCACCTGTGCTGTGGTACCCACTGCTGTGTCCCAACCAGGCTTCCTCCTGTATGAAACTGACATTTCACACTCTGTTGGAAGGGGATGAAGTGATTCAAGTATTTTATAATCACTCACCCCTCTCCTTCTCCAAACAGATCTTCCACTTCTGTCTGACTTCACTTTTTGAACTTCATTTAGTCACTTCCCTTTTTTTACACCTCATTTTTCTTTTATTAAAAAGGGAATAATAACTGCTTCTCAGGGATGTTGTGAATATTTAATGAAATTTTGTATTTGTAATATCAAGAAAGGAAAGGAAGCAAAAGTTTGTTTCAAGATTTTATGCTAAGAAAGATACTGTTATGGCATATTCATGGGTATCCTTGCACAATGAAATCCACACAAAAAATAACGTGCAGCACTGTTATTAAAACCATTGTGAAATATATGTTGAAAATTAATATGCTGTTGTGTAGCATAACTGATATCCTTGTTATGTGTACTTTTCTGAGTGCTTTTACCTATAACATATAATCTTTTTATAATCCTGCAAAGATTATACTAATGTTGTTCTCATTTTATGGATAAGGTAAACTCAGGGAAATTAAGACAATTTTCTAAGATCATACCAACTGGGACAGCTGCTTTTCAATCCATTGATTACAGTTTTGTACTCTTTATATATGCCATATCACATAAAACTTGAATTCTAGGCCTGTCACTTTTTCTCTGACTATATGTTTATTTTTGTGTTGGCTTAGGTTGGTAGAGACATAGTGTGTGAAATCTCATTTTTCACTCTGGTGAAAATCCACTAGGGTGACTATGATTTAAAAAATAAAAGCATAAAATAACAAGTATTAGAATGTGGAGAAATTGTGATCCTTGTGCTTTCTGTTGGAAATATAAAATGGTACAATCACTTTAGAAAACAGTATAGGTAGTTCCTCAAAAAATCAAGCACAGGCCAGGTACGGTGGCTCATGCCTGTAATCCTAATACTTTGGGAGGCAAAGGTGAGAAGATTGCCTGAGCCCAGGGGTTTGAAACCAGCCTGAGCAACTTGGCAAGACCTGGTCTCTACAATAAGTCAAAAAAATTAACTAGGTGTGGTGGCACACACCTGTAGTTCCAGGTATTTCAAAGACTGAGGTGGAAGGATTGCCTGAGCCCAACAGGTCAAGGCTTTGGTAGCTGTGAGCATGCCACTGCACTCCAGCCTGGGCGAGAGTGAGACAGTAACTCAAAAATAAATAAATAAATAAAGCACAGAATTATCATATGACACAGCAATTACACTTCTAGGTGTATCAAAAAAAATTGAAAGCAGAGACTCAGACACTTGTTTGTACATGTTCATAGCAACATTATTCATAATAGACAGAAAAAGTAGAAGTAACCCAGTGGACCTTGGTGAATGAATGTGGAATATACATATAATGGTATGTCATTCAGCCTTGAAAACAAATGGGATTCTGATGCATGCTACAGCATGAAGGAACCTCAGTGACATTATGCTAAGTGAAATAAGCCAGTCACATAACAACAAATGCTGTATGATTCCACTGAGATGAGGTACCTACAGTAGTCAAATTCATAGACAAGAAGTAGTGGTTACCAGATGAGGATAGGGAAGAAAGGAGTTATTGTTCAGTGGGTACAAAGTTCTGTTTGGGTTGAAAAAGTTCTGGAGATGGATCATGGTTAAAATGGCAAGTTTTGTGTGATGTATAATTTACCACTAAAATAACTCATTATCTTTCAAAGGAACTCGTTTTGAACGCTTGCTTATGAGAATAGGCCATCAAGCAAAGAATGCCTCGACAGAGCTAAAAATTAGATGTTTGGATGCAGTTTCATCTCTTCTGTACTTACCAGTAAGTAGATTGGGAAATTAATGAAGGACACCAGGATGTGTTTGGGAAAATAAATCTGAATGAGTCAACATAATACTACTTAGTATAAATATTGACCAAGGCCAGGCACAGTGGCTCATGGCTATAATCCCAACATTATGGGAGGCCAAGGTAGGAGGATTGCTTGAGGCTAGGAGTTTGAGACCAGCCTGGGCAACATGGCAAGACTTCATCTCTACAAAAAAAATCAAAAATTAGCCGGTGTGGTGGTGCATGCCTGTAGTCTCAGCTATTCAGGAGGCTGAGGCTAGAGGTTCAGTTATGATGATCCTTGATTATGCCATTGTACTCCAGCCTGGGCAAAAGAGTGAGACTCTGACTCAAAAAAATAAAATATTGACCAAGGAAATGCTATCTTTCTTACTTTTAATAAAAGATAGCCCTCATTATATGACTAGTGACATTATTAAGTTAAAATGGAATCATAGGGTGTTAGAACTGAAGAGGCTCTAGAGATTGCTTAATCAGCCACATCCAAGGAAAACTGGGAAAGGTCTGGGCTGAGTTTGAGGAAGAATGCTCCATACTTAGCCAAGATCACACAATAAACTAATGACAGAGTACCATCACAACCCATGTTTCTTAGTAGCTTCCAAATGAGTTCTTACCTCTGGACAAGTTAACCTTGTCATGAGATTTTGCTTTTTGGTCCTATAGCCTGAGCAGCAGACTGATGATCTCCTGCGGATGACAGAATCCTGGTTTTCCTCTTTATCTCGGGACTCACTGGAGCTCTTCCGTGGCATCAGTAGTCAACCCTTCCCTGAACTACACTGTGCTGCCTTAAAAGTATTAACAGTAAGTATTCTCTGTTCTTCCATAGGTCCTTCTGCAATTCTGTTTGTTCAACATGTGAATACTTAGGGTAAGTCAGTCCCTGTGCTATGCCCCCTCTGCTACCTTGGAGACTAATTAATTAGGGAGACGAATACAGATTGTTTTCAGTAAAGATTCTAGGTGCTGTTTGAAGTCTGTACAAGGTGCTGTGGGATCACAGAAGTAATTCTACCCCAGCCCAGTTTTCTTCCTGAGCCTTATTTCCTGCCATTCCCCTTCTGGCATTTAGTGCTCTAGTGGTACCAAACTGTTTCATATCTCTGAATCTTTGTTGGGTTCTCTGCACCTAACACTCTTCTTTAACTTTGCTTGTTAACTTCTTAGTCATTTCTTGAGGCCTAGCTTAGGTATCTCTTCAGTGTACTTTGCCCAAACTGACAAGGGTGAGTTAAATAATGTTAGCTCTCATATGTTGCATTCATTCCTTCATTCATTCAGCAAATATTTGTTGTGTCCTTTTTTGCTTAGTGCAGGGAATACAGCAGTGAACAAAATAAATAACAATTTTTTTCTTGTAAATTCCTGTCTGTTGAGGGAGCTAAGCAGGAAATATAATTGTATACTTACATAGATAATTATAGTTGTGATAAGGATTATACTGCTGTGTTTCATCAAATTATGCTGAAAATGTTTATCTGTTGACCTGTCTCACCCAAGCAGAGTTAGTTGAGAGTAGAAACCATATATGACGTATTTTTATAACCCTGGTAGTTAATCATGGTGCCTGGGGTCAGAGAAATATAGTGATCACTTTAGTAATCGTATCAATAATGAGATTTCAGGCCGCATACTTGGCATAGGCTGGGAGGTAACAAGGAGAGTGGCAGGGACAAGAGAGGCAAGGCTTCCTGAGAATGTGGTACATGATCTGGATATTGAAGAATATAAATAGTCCTATCATCTTCAAGAACTTTTTTTTAAAGTCTGCTTTCCCCTTTAAATAGTCCTTGTATAAAATGGCCATGTTGGCTCCTGCTTGGTATTTTCATTATTAATTTATTTGGGTTTTGCTCTTCTACTTTATTCTCTACTTAGTTGGTCCCAGATGTAAAGATAATTTATTTACTGATTGGGACAGCTATTTTTAATTTTAGCCCATGCTTCATCTTTGGCTATTAGGTGGACCATTGTTTCTCAAACATTAGTCTTAAGGATCTTATTAAAATGCATACACTAATTCAATACTTCTGAGAAAGAGCCTGAGATACTGAATTTCTTTTTTTTTTTTTTTGAGTTGGCTCCGACAGGAGTGCAGTGACACAGTCCCGGCCACTGCAGCCTCGACCTGCTGGGCTCCAGCGATCCTTCCGCCTCAGCCTTCCAAATAGCCGGAACTACAGGCGCGCGCTACCACACACGGCTAATTTTTGATTTATTGTAGAGATGAGGTCTCGCCAAGTTGCCCAGGCAGGTCTCGAACCCGCGGGCTCCCAAAGTGCTGGAATTACAGGCTGAGCCACCAAGCCCAGCCGAGATCCTGAATTTCTAACCAGCTCCCAGATGATGCTGATACTACTGGTGTGTGTAACACATTTTGAGAGGAAGACACTAGGCCAAATAACTTGATTGTTACTCATCAAAAGGTAATAGTAGGCTGGGTGTGGTGGCTCAAGCCTGTAATCCCAGCACTTTGGGAGGCCAAGGTGAGGGGATTGCCTGAGCCCATGGGTTCAAGAACAGCCTGGGCAACTTGATGAGACCTCATCTCTACAATAAATCAAAAAATTAGCTGGGTGTGGTAGCACACGCCTGTAGTTCCGGCTACTTGGAAGACTGAGGCAGAAGGATTGCCTGAGCACAGCAGGTCAATGCTGGGGTGGCCATGAGCATGCTACTATGCTCCAGCCTGGATGATGGAGTGAGACTCCAACTCAAAAAATAAAAAAAAGGTAATAGTGCAGTTTTTAAAAAATTATAAAGTTGCTTATTCGCTATTTTAAAATTTGGAAAATACTGAAAAATTGAAATTTTAAAAATCACATAAAGTTGTACCTGTTTGGTATATTTCCTTTTAGTTTTAGTATTAGTGTTTGATTGTTTTTCATGAAATACTTCAAACTTAGAGTTATATCTTGCTATCTCTGCCCCGTCCTATCCCCCTTTCTTCCTTCATGGATGTAATCACTGTCATGAATTCAGGTATACAGGCCCACATATGATTCATATTTCTACTACATATGTATGTATCCTTAAAATATAGTATTTTGCATTTTATTAAACTTTGTAAGTGATATCATGCTGTTCATACCATTCTGCAACTTGCTTTTTCTCTTCAACATTATGTTTTTAAAGTTTATTATATTGGCAGGCTTGGTGGCTCAGCCTGTAATCCCAGTACTTTGAGAGGCTGAGGCCAGAGGATTGCCAGAGCCCACAGGTTCAAGACCAGCCCAGGCAACTTGGTGAGAGCTTGTCTCTACAATTAAAAAAAAAAAAAATTAGCCAGGTGTGGTAGTGTGCACCTGTAGTTCCGGCTATTTGGAAGGCTGAAGCGGAAGGATCGCCAGAGCCCAGCAGGTCAACACTGGGGTGACTGTGAGTGTGCCTCTGCACTCTAGCCTGGGCGACAGAGTGAGACTCCAACTCAAAAAATAAAATAAAATAAAGTTTATGTTAAAGGAGGCAGTTAGAAAGTCAGTATTTCAGCCGGGCTCAGTGGCTCAGCCTGTAATCCCGTGCCTTTGGGAGGCTAAGGTGAGTGGATTGCCTGAGCCCGTGGGTTCGAGACCCACCTGGGCAGCGAGACCTCATCTCTACAATAAATTTAAAAAAGTCAGCCGGGCATGGTAACGCATGCCTGTAATTCCGGCTACTTGGAAGGCCGAGGTGGAAGGATCGTCAAGGCTGTGGTGGCCGGGAGCGGCCACTGCACTCCAGTCTGGGCGACAAAGTGAGACTCCAACTCAAAAAAAAAAAAAAAAAAAAAAAGAAAGAAAGTCAGTATTTCATTGGCTAGCTACAGTGCAGCCTGAAATCCCATTATTGATAAGATTACTAAAGTGATCACTACATTTCTATGAGCTGGGGCACCATGATTAAGTGCTAGCGTTACAATCATTCTTTCGTAAATTAAGATAATATCTTAGAAATTATACTACAGTGAACATTCTTGAAAATATTATCTTATGCATAAATATGAGAGTATCTTTTGGTTTTGTTTTTCCACTATTATAATCATGCCTTGTAAATAAACTGGATTTGCTTTTTTTCATGTAGCAGATTTACTCATGTCTACATATTCTTTATAAACATTATTCTTAATGTTTATTTTTCATTGCTATATACCATAATTTACTTAACCATTTCTCCATTACTAGGCATTTATCTTGTAACTTTCACACTGATGAATATTTTGTATACAAAGCTTTTAATATATAGAATTATTAAGTTAGATTCTCAGGAGAGAATTTATGCAGACAAAAGTTAACATTTTTAAGGTTCATGTTGCCACATTTCTAAGAACTGTGCCATCACACTAACAAACTTTTGACTTCTTAATGCTCAGAGGAATTATGTTCTTTCTGTCTTCCATTTCAGGCCATTGCAAACCAACCCTGGGCTCAGAAACTTATGTTTAACAGTCCAGGTTTTGTAGAATATGTGGTGGACCGGTCTGTGGAGCATGACAAAGCTTCGAAGGATGCCAAATATGAACTGGTGAAAGCACTTGCTAATTCTAAGACAATTGCAGAAATCTTTGGGAACCCAAGTTATTTGAGGCTCAGAACATACCTGAGTGAAGGTCCATACTATGTGAAACCTGTTTCTACAACAGCAGTCGAAGGAGCTGAATGATTTCTTCTAGAGTCTAATTAATGCGGAGGACCATTTTTGGCCAGAACCTCTCCAAAGGCATTTGATTCCATCTGTATTTCACAAAACAGAGATTTCCCTCCCCCAGAATTATCATGAAGTGTCTAATGTAACTTTATCACCAACATTGTTATGTTTCTACATTGAAATACAAAGTGGAACCAGGAGTTTGGAATATATTCAGAGCAGGCAAACTTGGTCACGGTAGAACCAGTATTTTTCAGATTCCTTTGACTGCCTTAATCTTTGCAGCAAGGTGGAAGCTTTGTTCTTTTCACAGAAAAATGTCATGAACATACTCATGCTCTTATTTAAGAATATATATTAAATAAAATGGAACCAAATAGTTTCTGAATTCTCTTCACCACCTTTTCCCCCCTCCTTTTAATTCTTTTTTCCTTTCTGATACTACTTTCAAAGTCTTGGGTATATTCTTTGAAAAATGAGTAGTCTGAAATCTTAAAATTATGTTACCTAAACTAAGAATACTTTTTATAAGGTCTCTTTTGGTTTTTTTTTTGTTACTATTATTCCTTTGAAAAGTCAACATAAAATAAATTTTTAAATGTTTGTAGTGTTTGTTTGATGCCATTTTTGCTATTTATCAGTGAATTTTGCCCAAGTGTGACTTTGGGGGAGGGAAAAACATAACATGCTAACCAGAAATGTTCCCAAACTGTCATTTATTGGTGGATCATCATTGTTGAAGGTTTTATCGTTAATTGTTCATGTCTTTATCTTGAGTTAATCAGAGAGAGGGAAACTTACTCCTAAAAACCAGTCAGAACAGAAGGGACAATATGTATAAACCAGATGTCATCTCACTAATTCACAAAGATAATCCTTTTTATTGACAAAAGCTATGTATGCCTGCTTGTTTTCCAGTATTCTCTCTAAACAACAAAGCACTCTACACATCAAAGGATGTTGTCAGAGTGACAGGTTTAGAATTGAGAGATATATTTCTTTTAGACCATGGTGAAGTTGATAAACCAACAATGCACTATAACAAAATTGTTGTCAAGTGACTGTAATTCTCTGTTCTGCAGATTGATCATCATTCCTCTGCTGTCTCTGGTAACTGAGTCTTTTTTTCATATTTCCATACTGATTATTTCCCTGCTGTTAATACCCCTAAATCCCTAATTTGGCTATAGTCAGGTCTTTCCTGGCCTAATAAATATTCTCTTAAAATGACTTTTGCTTTAATCTCATCCATAATGTTGATTTTTTTCCCCCAATGTTTTTCATTGTGGTAAAATATACGTAACAAAACATGCCATCTTTACCATTTTTAAGTGTACAGTTCAGTGATCTAATATTCTTAATGTGCACCCACCACCACCATCCATATTCAGAATCCTTTCTCTTACCTGGTAGCTACTATGGACCAAACCCAATGATAAACACTTGACATATCTCTTGTAGACCATCAACTATACAAAGGTTGGTTTTGTATATAAACTGAGACCCAATATGGCTTAGTAACATATCCAAAATTTTAATAAGTGTGATGGCAAAGATTTTCAAGATGTGTTACTTTAGGGACACCTAAAATCTCAGGAGCCCCCAGGATGGGAACTACTGGTCTAATCATTGTACAAGAAAAATCAGAAAGTGTATTGTAGGTTGAATTGTGTCCCCCAAAAAGATGTGTTCAAGTCCTAACCCCAGTACCTGTGGATGTGAGCGCATTCTAAATAGGAGGGGTCTTTGCTGATGTAGTCCGGTTAAGATGATAACATTAGGGTGGGCCTTTATCCATTGACTGGGGTCTTTATAAGAGGGACATGGGAGTTGTGGAGTCAGACACACAGGAGACCATGTGAAAATGAAGGCAGACTTATGAACAGGTTCTAGGATCGAATGCTTAAAGGTGAATTGAATCATCAGAGATGTCCCATCAGCCATGTGTGATGTGGGCATCTGGACCTACAGTCTAAGTGCATAAACTTATTCTCCAGCCCTGGGGGAGAGTAGGAGGAGAAACCATGAAGAGAACATCTTAAAAACCTGGGAGGGGACATCATGAAGATGGCAGAGTAGGAGATGCCAACATTCATCCCAACACATACACACCACAAATACAGACAGGGATTCACAAACCAAAATAGCCCAGGGAAGTCTAGAGTGCTCATTAAAAAATCTGCAACAATACAGTTTAGCAAAAAATACAGAGAACATCACATAGAAAGGATTGCTGGTGAGATTGGCATACCTGAGATGTCAGGAGAGGACTCGAAATGAAGAAAGCTGGAGGCCATCAGAATCAGTCACACAGTGGAACCCACCATGGTCCCCAGCACCCTGCTCGGCAGTGGATACCAGCATCTCTTGCCACTGAACTAACCACAGCCAGTCCTGCCCGAAAATCCCTGAGAGATTGAATATGAGTTTGCACTCCCCTCATAACCAAACCCTCCCACCCCTTACCAGGAGCAACTGCTGCAAAGTCACTTGGGCTTACTTGTGGGCTCTGGCCCCAGAGCTATGACCCTTCAAAGAGTGCCCACACTCCAGTCTTGGGCTCTGCAACTGCATTCATCCCACCCACACCTCAGATATCACAGTTTCCAACAGAGTGAACTAGTTCACATTCCAGGCTCACTGAGACAATCTCTTGCAATATGTGCCTGCAATCTGGGCACCACTTTGGCCACCATAGAGAGCTAGACCTAAAGAGCTACTCTAGCTGGGCTCGGTGGCTAAGCCTGTAATCCCGCGCCTTTGCGAGGCTGAGGTGAGTGGATTGCCTGAGCCCGCGGGTTCGAGACCCGCCTGGGCAGCGAGACCTCATCTCTACAATAAAAAAATTAAAAAATCAACCGGGCGTGGTAGCGCATGCCTGTAATTCCGGCTACTTGGAAGGCTGAGACGGAAGGATCGCTGGAGCCCAGCAGTTCGAGGCTGCGGTGACCAGGAGCGGCTACTGCACTCCAGTCTGGGTGACAGAGTGAGACTCCAACTCAAAAAAAAAAAAAAAAGAACTGCCCTAACTTTGTGCACACCTGTGCTTTCATTATTGGCTTCCTGGCTACTTTCACAAGCATCCATAATCAACTGGGCATGATAGTTCATGCCTGTAATCCTGGTGCTTTGGGAGGTCAAGGCCAGAGGATTACTTGGGGCCAGGAGTTTGAGACTAGCATGGGCAACATGGTGACACCCTGTCTCTACAAAAAATTAATTAATTAAAAATGAACTGAGCATGGTGGTGTGCACTTGTGGTTCTAGCTACTCAGGAGACTGAGGCAGAAAGATCACTTAAGGCTAGGAGTTAGAGGTTGTAGTAAGATATGATCACACCATGCATGCTGGCCTGGGAGACAGAATGAGACCCTACAAGAAAAGAGAGGAGAGTGGAGGGGAGGAGAAGAGGGGAAGAAAAGCAACAGCAGCATCCGTGCCTCACATTCTATTACCAATGTAACAGTGGGGCAGGGGGTGGGGCTTGGAAGAATCCCTGTGCACCGGACACCAGTTCTGGTACCATCCTGTATCCCAGAGCCATAGTTCCTCCATGCATTCCTATGCTTCAGGCCTCAGTTCTGTGCACTCCATGAGTGTCACTGATCAGACACCAGTGCCACTGCTGCTGCAAGGAAGCTCACAAGCTAGTCAAAGCCAACAGATTCCCTCCGCCACAACCTCCAGATGAAAGCAAAAAAGATTGGGGGGGGAACCATAGCAGCCATTGCTACCAAAAATCCCAATAACCCTTGTCACTGTGAATATCCACAACATTGGATGCTTGAGGATTCTTATGATCTTTTTCAACACCAACCCCTGCTGACAGACCTGCACAGACACTACACAGCTACAGCCTCACTGGTACCAACATCACAGAGCCCCACTCAGCAAGTGTTCTCACCACCATAGGGGAAGGTCTTTCCACTGTGAAACTAGCATGTAAATTCTGAAAGAAGTGACTGCTCCACCTAATGTGCAGGCATCCACATAAGCAACAATAAACATGATAAAATAAGAAGACATATCATAATCAAAGAACACAATTATCTGCCGGTAGCTGACTCTAAAGAAATGGAGATAATGAACTACCTGACAAAGAATTAGAAATATTTATTTTATGGAAGCTCAGCAAACTTCAAGAAAATATAGAAAAATAATGCAATGAAATTGGGGAGATTGAAATTATTAAAAAATAATAATAATAAATTCTGGAACTGCAGTTAGCATCAGGGAATAAAATTCTGGAACTGCAGTAAGCAAAATAAAACCACAATGAGATATCATCTCACCCCAATTATTGGGGCAATTATTTTCTTTAAAAATAACAAATGCTGGTGAGGATGCAAAGAAAAATGAACTCTAATACATTGTTGGTGGGAATGTAAATTAGTATAGTCATTATGGAAAACAGCATAGAAATTTTCCCGAAAATTAAAAATAGAACTATCATATAATCACTACTGGGTATTTTTCCAAAGAAAGGAAATCAGTATGTCAAAGAGATATCTGCCTTTTGTGTTCATTATGGCACTATTTACAATGGCTAAGATAGGGAATCAAACTAAATGTCCATTAACAGTTGAATGAATAAAGAAAATGTCATGTACTGTATATCTACACAATAGAATGCTATTCAGTCATTAAAATAATAATAATAATAAAACCCTGACATTATGAACATGGATAAGCCTGGAGGACATTATGTTAAGTTAAACAACTCAGGCATAGAAAGGTAAATACCACATGTTTTCACTCCCATATGGGGGCTAAAAAAAATTGAACTTCTGAAAGTAGAGTAGAATTATAGTTACTAGAGGTTGGGAAGTGTAGAGGGAAGGGGAGGATAGGAAAAGGTTGGGCAACAGACACAAAATTACAGCTAGATAAGAGGAGCAATAAGTTCTAGTGTTCTACAGCACTATAAGGTGAATATGGTTGACAATAATGTACTGTTTATGTTCAAAATCTAGAAGAGAATTTTTAATGCTCTCAACTCAAAGAAATGACAGATTTTTTCAGGTGATGGATATGCTAACTACCTTGATTTGGTCATCACACATTTTATATATGTATTACAATATTGCTCTTTATCCCATAAATATGTACAAGTATTACCTGTTAAAAAGGAAAAAAATTCCTTCTGTGTATAAGTATCAGCATGAAAATAATAGCAAATATATATATAATACTATAGGTTCTAACACGGAACATATTTTAATGCATTGAAGTCTCTTATGATCCCTATAAGCTAGATACATTTTTACCTCATTTTATAGTTCCAGCAGTGGCTGCACAGAGAGGCTAAGAAAATTGCCAAAGGTTATGTAGCTGGACAGAGCTGGGGTTTGAATCTAGGCAGTCTGACTCCAAGTCTATGTTCTTAACAATATCTCTGTGTTGTCTCAATTTATTTGTAAAAAGTATATTTAGTTTGAAAAAATTCTGAAACTGAAAAGTATAATGAATGAAATGAAAAATGCAATAAAGAGCACCAGCATCAGAATTGATCAAGCAGGAGAAAAATCTGTGAACTCAAAGACAGGTTATTTGAAAATATATAATCGAAGAAAATAAAATAAAATAAATAAAAAGGAAAGAAAGCTTACAGAATTTATAGAACACTTTTATGATAGCAAATATTCAAATTATAGGTTTTCCCAAAGGAAAGAGAGAGAAAAGTATACAGAAAACTTATTTAAAGGAATAATATGGAAGACTGAGGCAGAAGGATCGCCAGAGCCCAGCAGATCGATGATGGGGTGGCTGTGAGTGTGCCACTGCACTTCAGCCTGGGCAACAGAGTGAGACTTCAACTCAAAAAAAAGAAAAAAGAAAAGTGACATGGACAACATGGTAGAAAAGGAGGCTCTTCTGATTCTCCTTCCATCCACAGATGCACCAAATGAACATCTATTCACCAACCAGTTTTCTTTGAGAGGAAGTCAAAAACCAGTTGAAAGATTCTTACTCACCAAGCAACTGAGAAGACATCCATGTTGAACAGACAGGAAGAGATTAGGCACATTCAGGCATGGACCCTCTTCCAGACACTTCACCGTGCAATCTTGAACTGTTACCCTCTTTCTATGGAGAGGGTAGTTTGGAGCTCACATATGGCACTATAACTCTAAGGTGGCCCATGATTTGGATTTTTTTGGGAGGAGGGGGGTTGGAGTCTCACTCCATCGACCAGGCTGGAGTGCAGTGGCATGATCATGGCCACCTCA